AGGAGGGGAAGCCACGATCCAGCTGTGGTGATCCTGGCCCGGCCCCTCATTCAGCCACTGCTGCCCAGGTGCAGCAGCCCAGCCTTGGCCAAGTAAGGTAATCCGGCCCCAGGGCTCCCCCCATACTCTACTTCCCACCCCAGTGTCCTGCCCTGCTCCTGCACCGCCCACACACCCCAACTGCCTGCCCTGAGCCCCTCATACACCCCAACCCTAACTCCTGCACCCCCACAGTCACAAACTGCACCCCCAGCAGCAGTGTAAGTCCCATTAAATAAAGTCAGTGAGTACAGTGTTTCATTTATGCTATTATTAATCATGTCAATTATCAATAGTGTTAAGTTGTATATTTTCAGTCATGCGAATGGGCATTCTTATATGGCTCTTTGGTGACCACTTGGTCTGAATGCTGATGTAGTTTGTTTGACTCTTTGGTCTGAAAAGGCTGCCGACCTCTTGTCTAGAACCATCTCCTTAAGAAGGACGTTGATGATCTGAACAAGGAGAGGGCTGCGAATTGGGAAATTCGCCAAAGCCCAGATAACCACCCGGCTGGAAGAGAATGATCCTGGAGCTGTTCCTGTCCCAGCTAGGAACCACCAGACAGCCCCTGAGGGTGCTTTAGGGACGAGGACAGGGAAAGGGCTGGAGGCAACCAGACCCACACGGTGCCCGCTAAGACCCACTCAGCCAGCACCAGTTCATCCCATCTGGGTTCTCCCGCATTGGAGCTGGACAACTGGAACTTGAACTGCAGCTAAAAGAACTGGAGGACCAGGAGAGGCAGTGGCAGCATGAGCTGCCCATAGTGGAGCTGAGAGGCAGAGACCCCAGCTGTGGTGAGTAGGGAAGGGCCAGGGGGCCCAGGACTGCATGGAACTAGGATGTGGACGTGCTGCCCCAGTGTAAGGGAGGGGGGCATAGATCCCTCCTTGCTGCCTTTGAGAAAGCCTGCAACCTGCACCAAGCCGACCCAGCAGACAGGCTCCCGCATCTCACCCCCTTACGGGATCCCAGGCCCAGGGATGCTCAGCCAGAGGGATGGGGTGGAGGCAGGGCACTCTGAGCTGTTCAGACAGGCCCTGCTGCACAGGGGTGGGCTGACTCTCGAGACGAACAGGAAAAGGTTCTGGAGTTCGCAGAAGGCCTCAGGGAGACCTACCTGGCCCGCCGCATGGGGCCATACGCCCGCAAATGGGCAGGTGGGGCAGGGCCCAAACCACGGAGGACCTGGCTGAGCTGATGGTATGAACACTGCCCCCCCCAACCTGAGACTGTGGCTGGGGGACAAATAGCGGGAGGACCGGCCCAGCGCAGGGTGGCTGGCTGAGGAGTTTACCGACAGCCGGTCCAGGTGTGGAGGGGAGTCCCAGAGGGACCGGCTCACAACACCATGTCCTCAGCAAACTGTCAGGGAGGATTTTACATTTGCTTCCAGGGTGGAGAGAGAGGAAGAGATGCTAAATAGCCCCAGGAAACGAAGCGCTGTGGCAGAGCAGCTGGCCTCCTGGCGCCAGGCATGAATGGAGATCTATCAGCTAGCCAGTTGGGAAGCCCTGTCTTGTTGTGGAAACCTGCCTCCTTCAGTCCCAATACTGAGCTGGAGGCTGGCGGGAGTCGAAGGCCCATCATAGCCATTGAGCTCCCATCTCAGTAGCATGACGTGGCAGGATGGGCATTAGTTCCATGTCCTGCCCCTTCAATTCTTTATTCGTTGAGGCCTGAATAAACTGCTTCATTAACTTGCCCGGGATCGATATCCCAGAGCAACCTGCCTCCCCACCCATCAGCACCCCACTTTCCTGGGACCCTGACCCCTCGCTTCGAAGTCCCATGCAGACCCCTCCTTGCTTTATGTCCGCAGGACTCACGTGTCCATAAACTGCCCGGTTCTGTGACAGACCCAGTTTGCGAGGATCCTGGGGGATGTCCCAGGGGTCAGGGTAAATCAGCACCCCCCGGGCCTGGGCTGACTCTGCATTTGCCACCTGAAGAAAAAGAGAGAATACAGGAGTCCTGGCTCCCAGCCCCGTTCCAACCCACCAGCCCCCTTTCCCGCGCCTCGGAGAACCAGGGAAAAGACCCAGGTGTCCAGGCTCACCTTCTCAGCGTAGCTTATCTGTCCCACTCTGACAATAACCAGGTGGCCCTGGGGGTTCACTCCCAGCTGTCTCAAGGCATCAAAATCCTCCTGGCGCCCATAGTTGGCATAGACCAGCCCCCCCTGGGGAGAAAGTTGGGGTTGAACATGGGGGGCATCCCCAAAACCCAATCCCCTCAAGAGAAGGGAAGAGATGGGGGAGCTTCCAGAGTAAGGATGGGGAGCAGGATGGGAGGAGGTGGATAGAGGTATTACTATGGTGTTACTGGGGGTGTTGTAGGGTCAGTATCGGGGGGAGATAGGGTGTTGCTGGGGGGCATTGCCATGGCATTGACAGGGGTGCTGTAATAGAGGTAACGGGGGCTGTGTAGGGGCAGTACAGGAGGTGACAGGGCCTTGCCAGGGTCATTACCATGGCTTTGCCAGGGCCCCTATAGGAGCAGTAGCAGGGGTGAGAGGGCATTGCCGGGATCCGTTACCTTTGCTTTGCCAGGGGTCACTATAGGGGCAGTACCAGGGGTGACAGGGTGTTGCTGAGGTCGTTACCATGGCATTTCTGGGGTGCTGTAGGAGCAGTAACGGGGGTGACAGGGCATTACCAGAGTTGTTACCGTGATACTTCTGAGGCACTGAATGAGCAGTACTGGAGGTGACAGGGCATTGCTGGGGTCATTAGCGTGGCATTGCCAGGACGCTGTAGGAGCAGTAATGGGGGTGACAGGGTGTTGCCAGGGTAGTTACCGTGGCATTGCCAGGCGCGCTGTAGGGGCAGTACATCTCGGGATCCTCCAGTGGCAACTTCTCCAGGATGCCCCCCTGTGTATCCAGTAGGTGCAGGAAGTTGGGGTTCTGCCTAGGGATGGGGAGAGGGGATCTTAGCCCAGCCTGCAGGGCCCTTGGGACCCCACCTTGTATCCTATGCCCCCATCTCCCATCCCCCTTGGGCTGGCCCCACCCCCACCCAACACTCCCTCTCCTTCTGACCCCACCTCCCACCCTTGACTCCAAATCCCCCTCCCCATGTGAAGCAGCACCCTCTGCCCACCTCCTTAGTCTCTCCCTCCATCCCTTCTGGGTGACCTCCCTCCTGCACAGACCTGTCAGGGTACTGTAGCCCCACGTAGTGGGTGTCAGTCCAGGCCCGGTCCAGCCTGTAGGAGGTGAAACTCTCCAGCAGCCGGTGGGTCAGGGCATCCATGCGGGGTGAACCGGGCGGGTGGGGGCCCTCACTCACCCACCTGGGCAATGGTGGCAAAAAAGGGAGGTGTCAGGGGGAGCTGGAGCCAGCTGCCCCCCACCTACCCTGTCTAGCTGTGGTGGGGAAATTAGAAAATGGGGATCCAGTTTGGTGTTTTCGAGGGTGGTGGGCCATGGAGCAGAGGGGTCCCCAAGGAGGGATGATTGGGGGAGGACCCTGCATTTGAGGGTTGGGGTCTTGGAGGGGAATTCAGAGTTCAGGGTGGGGATTCCCCATGGGAGGATCCTTGACAGCAGGAGTTCCTAGTGGGATGGGGATCTGCGTGGGGCAGAGGGTCCCATGGGGTGTGAGTTTCTCATGGGAGGATCTTTGACAATAAGGCTTCCAAGTGGGATGGGGTGTCTGCATGAGGCATGAGGATCTATGGAGAGGGGATCCATGTGGGGCAGGAGGTCCCCCTGGGGTGTTGGTTCCCCATGGGAAAATCTATGGGACTGGGAGTGCCCTGTGGGGTGGGGCGACCTGGGAGGTTTGGGAGTTTTCTGAGGGCAGGAGCCCTAGTGCCAGCTCACCGAATGGTACGCTCGATACTCTCCTCCCGCAGGTATTTCTGGAACATCTCCTTCAGGTCAGCCCAGTAGAGGGGAGGTCCTGGGGCCGGCAGCTCTTCCACGGTCCCCTCGTCACTCACCACAGCCAGTAGGTCCCCCCGCAGCCCTGCGCAGGATGGGCAGCTTCCCCGCAGTGCCACATAGCCCAGGAGGAAGGCTGCACAGCAGGGAAACGGGGCATGGGCAGGAGGGGCACAAACACAGGAGACAGATGGGGTGTGGGTGGGGGGCAGTGCCTAACAGGCAGGGGGGGTTAACAGGCACAAGGCAGGGCTATGTGTGAAGGGGGTGTGGCTAACAGGCAGGGGCGGTGCTGTCTGCAAGGAGGGACTATCAGGCAGGGACGGGGCTATTAGTGAAGGCAGAAGGCAAGTCTGTCACTGACAGGGGTGTGGCTAACAGGCAGGAAGTGGGGCTATCTTTGAAGGGGTTGTGGATATCAGTCCAGGAGGCTGAACTGTCAGGACAGGGGGCAGGGCTCTCAAGGCAGGGCGGGGCCATCTGTCCGGGGAGCATGACCCTCAGAATGGGTTCAGAGGGGTAGCCAATTAGTCTGTAACAGGAAAAACTTTAAAAAACAACAAATAGTTTGGTAGCACTTTAAAGACTAACAAAACATGTAGATGGAATCATGAGCTTTCATGGGTACAACCCACTTCTTCAGATGACTGGAGTGTTGGAAGTGTCAGAATGGGGGGAGCTATCTGTGAAGAGGCGGAGCTGTCAGACTTCAGGGGACAGACTTCAGGGCCAAAGGGTTGGGCTGTCAGACAAGGGGAAGGCAGAGCTACTGGTATGGGGGCACAGCTTTGGACCAGAGGTGGAGTCACTGGATAGAGACAGACTTTGGGGGCAGGTCCTTACCAACGGTGAAGACGAGCAGGGCGCTGAGCACCAGATAGGTCAGAGCCTTGGTCCGGTTCCGTGGGCTGGGGGTCACCAGGGCGGCCATATCTTCATCCTCCTCCCCGTCAGTGACCTTCAGCTCCAACCCTGCAGCCCCCTCCCCACCTGGTCCCTCCACGTTCCGGTAGATGGAGTAAGAGCGTGGGCCAGGTCGCTTGCCACGCTGTGGGGACATGGAAGTCATTATGAGAGAAGCTGCAGGTCAGGAATGAAGGGCACTGGCATGGTTCAGAGGACAGAACAGGGCCTGCAAAAACTGCAGGTAGAGAGTGAGGGGCACTGGCATGGCTGGGCTGGCAGAGGCTGTGGTTTCAGGAGTGAGGGGCACCGGCAGGGCTGGGAAAGCCCAGGGTTGGACTGGAAAGGCTGCGGGTTGGGAGTGAGGGGCACTGGCTGAGCTGGGGGTCTGCGGGTCAGGAGTGAGGGGCACCAGCAGGGCTGGGAGAGCCCAGGGCTGGGCTAGCAGGGGCTGCAGGTCAGGAGCGAGGGGCATTGGGGAATATGCACTCCCCCTGGGGAGTTTGGGAAAGGTTTGGACCTGTCATACCGCACGGTGAAGCAGGAATCTCAGTGTCTCCATTGAAGCCTTCTCGCGTCCTGGGGAGAGAGACAGGCCCTGGCAGCCAATTGGGAGAAGTCGGGAGGGACCCCCTTTCTCTGCCCCTTTCCGGAACAGAGGTGGGCTGCGAGTTTGGAGTGAGGGGCACCAGCACTGCTGGAGGCGGGGGAGGGTTACCAAATATTTTTCCCGTCAACGGAGGTACAAAGGCTGGTAGTGAGGTATTGATTCATCAGACTGGCGCCGGCCTGCCGGGGTCAGCCCTGCCTGTCAGGGTGGAAGCGAGTGCCCCCTGCTGAGCCTCCCCCACTCCCTGCCCCACAGCGCCCCCTGGTGAGCCCCCACCCCCACCTTGCACCCCAGAGGTTGCTGGAAAATATCCCAGGATTCAGTTAGGCAGAAATGGGTCAGAGTGGAGCTTGGGGTTGGGAACAATTCAGTGGGGCGAGTAACTGTGATGGGAAAAGGGAATCCCAGGGGAGTGGAGAGTGAGGGGAAGCCAAGCAGGCTGCCAGATGGGGGACTTTGGAGCTGGGAAAAAATTCAGGGTTGGGAAGGGCAGGAGCCTGGCTGAGGTGATAAGAGCCAGGGGCGGGTGGAGGGGCTAGGAGCTGATACCACATGTCCCAGAGTCACGTAAGCAGCTTCCCCTGCTCCCACTGGTGCCCCTCACTCCTAACCCACAGCCCCTGATAACCCAGCCTTGGACCCCCCAGTACTCACTCCCTACCTGCAGCCCCTACCAGCCCAGCCCTGGTCCCCCCCAGCCTGGCTGGTGCCCCTCACTACTAGCCTGCAGCCCCTTCTAGCCCAACCTTGGCCCCCTCCCAGTGCTGCTAGTGCCCCTCACTCCCAACTCTCAGCCCCTGCCAGCCCAGCCCTGGGCTCCTCCCCCACTCCTGCTGTTGCCCCTCACTCCTGACTTGCAGCCCCCCCAAAGTTCCTGTAAAATGTGTCTTGTTCTGTCTGGGCTGGGACAGGCTGCTGTGGGAGATTTAAGGGGTTCTCAAAGTCCCTCCCCTGCCCTCTCCCCAGCCCTCCAGGGACACTCACAGAGCTGGTGCCCGGTGCTGGGAGTTGACAAGCTGCTGTTTGTGTCTGATACAAACCCCAGATCCCACCCACTGCAATGACACCCAGGCCTCCTCCCCTGTCAGAAGCCGCTCACACCCAGCCCCAGCCCAGCCCAGCCCGGGCCCAGTCAGGACACCCGGTCAGCAGTGGAGGGTGTTGTGCTGCAGGGAACGGAACAGGGAGCCCCGCTTCTAGCGCTAATGCAGCTCAGGCCCAGGGGAGCTCTTAGCCCGTAAATGGGCAGGCTCAGGGGTACAAGGAATGGGGCAGGGAACTGTCCCTCTTGCAGGCAGCAGCTCCCACCCGGCCCCAGAGTGGGGACTAGCTGGCTCAGGGCAGGAGAATGGGGAACTACATTCCTGTCAACAGCCTGTAGGAGGCACCAGAGCATAGACTAAAATAACCTGAAAATCTAGGTGGCAAAATAATGGCAAAGATGTAGCTGGGGCAGCCAGTTACACCAGGACCCTTCGCCAGGTGCTGAGATGCAGCCATTTGTATTAAACACCCTCCCCTAGGACTGGTAGTTTAGGATCTTATACCCTGCACCGCAGGTGCCACCAAGTCCGTGGGCTGCCCGTACCTCGGTTCTATCTTGTGAAAAACAATGAAACCTGGAGTAGGGCAGCCTGATACCTGAACGCGGCTGTCGAGGGTGCTGTGAGGCAGGGAGGGGGGTCAGCCGAGGCGCTATCCCCTGGCAGTCAGGGCTGGCCCCTGGGTGCCGCTAGGGGGCGCTGTGGGACAGGGGCTCAGCAAGGGCTGCTCTCCTCTGGCAGGCAGAACTGGCCCCTGGGTGGCTCTAGGGAGCGCTGCGAGGCAGGGAGCCGGGTCCGTTTTCATTCTTTACCCCTAAATCCCTCCGCCCTCGCGATGGGAGCGCCCTGCACCTCCCTTCCCCACCTGACACTGCGCAGAGACTGGGGCTGTTCCTGCTGGATTTCTCCCCCTCCCCCCCAACTGCTACAGGCAGCTGCGTAGTCCGGGGAGCACAGTGCACTGGGAAGCTGACACATCAAACCAGGCTCTTGGCATTTTCTGGTTCCTCCACTCCCCTGCCCTCCCGAATCCATCCAACCCCTCTCCCACGCCACGTTCTCAGACGTGATCTGCTGTGTGCAGAGGGCAAGTCGGGCTCAAAATCAACGGAGAGAACCCAGGCGTCCTGGCTCCCAGCCGCCTGCCCTCCTCCCCTCCCAGTGCTGGGGAGAGAACCCAGACGTCCTGGCTTCCAGCCGCCTGCCCTCCTCCCCTCCCAGTGCTGGGGAGAGAACCCAGGAGTCCTGGCTGTTCGTTTCCAAGCCCACCTTGCTGGACTGAACCCAGCATGGCAGCTGTCAAAGCAAATGGGACCTCTGATATTTTCACTGGCAGCAGCCAGACTTGGTTTACACGGGGCAAGCCACATGACGTTAACAAATGGGCTGAGGGTGGGGAGTGAGGGGCACCGACAGGACAGGGGGAGCCCAGGGCTGGGCTGGCGGAGACTGCAGGTCAGGAGTGAGCCCCTGCCCCGTTCCCTGTCCCACAGCCTCCCCCAGCGGCAGGGCGGGGGAATCCCAGGGCGGGGCTGCAGGTTGGGAATGAGGGGCACCTGCAGGGCTGGGGGAGCCCAGGGCTGGGCTGGCAGGGGCTGCAGGTCAGGAAGGGCCAGATGGAGGCAGAACCCTCCACGAGGGTGAACCTCCGGCTCCATCTCCTTCATCCTTCAGGAGAAACAAGAACTAGACACAAAATACTTTGCACCTTAACTTAATATAAAATATAAACTCTATAGTGAAGGCCCCTGGGCCCCGGCACTTCAGCCTCCTCTGAGTCCCTGGCCCTGCTGCCGTTTCAAGCAGGGCAGGAGAGATTTGGATGTTCAGGCTCCCTGCTCTTACGGGGGGATCATCAGCCATGAGCGATCCAGCAGCACCTGTCTGCGAGGCCAGGATCCCAGAGCAGGGTGTTGAAATGCAGCCACCTCTGGGGCAGGGTGGCCTGTTACACGGGTAACTCCCAGGTCCAGGGCTTCAGTTGTCTGTCAGTTTTGCTCCTCTAGTTTCCAGCTGGTGTTGGGGGGATCAGATTGGTGCATTGAGTCCTGACTGGGTTGATGGGCAGCTGTCAATCATTGTCACACCAGAAGGGCAGCGAGCTCTCTGGCCCAGGCTGTGATGCACTCGGGATTGGGTGACAGGCGTCAATCATTCCTCAGCGAGGTTGTGCCGAGGCTCCGGGGCCGCTGTCCAGTGGGCAGATGATTGGCGGCTGTCAGTCGTCCGGTCCGTCACCGGGAAGATTCCGGGGGGGGAGGGCGGAGTGCTGTGGCAAGCGGGGGAGGCCGGGAACCCCTCACCCAGCCTCGGGCCGACAGGCGTCCGTCAGAAAGAGCTTAACCCGGCCCCGCAGAAAGTTGGAGTGAATGCTGAGCAGCTTGGCTAAAGTCCGGACGCTGAGGGTGGGGGGTGGTGCAGAGGGCAGGGCTGGCTCCATCTATGGGAGATGAGGGATAATTTGAGGAGAGAAGCTTTTATGGTATCCTTTTGCCTCTCCCACCCTCCCCCCCCACACACACACACTGCTGCTCCATCCTGCCCCACGCAGCAATCTCCTCCCAGCCATCCTGCCCCCAGCCTTGCCCTGACCCAGGAGCCCCTCACCTGGGCATTGTGGCTGCGCAGGATCTGACCGACGCTGCGCAGGTTGCTGTAGGTGCGGCCGAGCTGCTGGCTCAGGGAGGGATCAGCCACTAGGTCCCGGGCTCGGAGCACAGCAGCTGAGAGGAGAGCCTGTCCCTCCCACACCTCAGCTGCCTGCCTCTGCCTCTGAGGAGGGAGGAGACGATCAGAGCCCCAACCCAGCATCCCCGGATCAGACCCCCGGATGCCTTAGTCCAACACCCCCGGATCAGATCCCTGTGTGCCCCACCCAAGAACCTCCACCTCAGACTCCCCCTGCCCCGGGGCCCACTCAGACTCACGTCCATTTTCTTCCACTTGTTAAAATTAACTTTTGTGTCAGGCACTGTGAGAACTTCTGAGAAGTTGCAAGAATTTGCACAACCTTCCTGTAAAGAGACCAAATCACCTGACATCGTGTAGCTGGTTACATAGGGACCCCTTGCCCAGCGCTAAGATGCATTCACTTCTGGGGAGGGGAGGCTGGTTAACAGGGACCCCTCCCCCTGGGTCTTGAGGCTGATGTGGTTGGGAACCTACCATGGCGTTTTCAGTGTCTCTGGCTTCCTTGATGAATTTCTCCATGACTCGTGCGTCGCAAATGGGGTGCAATGGAGAGGGGTGAGTGAGTGCAGCGAGTTCCAACAGTAACAACAGCAAAGCACAGAGCCCTGCAGGGTGGGAGGAAGGGTTGTGAGACACAGGGACCCCTGCATCCCTCCATCCATCTATCCCTGTCACACCCATCCCTCCCTCATAGGGCTACATCTACACTGCACAATTATTTCGGAATAAGCTATTCCAGAAGAAAGTAGCTTATTTCGAAATAGCACATCTACACTACAGGGAAACTTAGTCTGAGGCAGGTTCCCCTAATGTGGAAGTACTACCTCAATTTGGAGCCTCAAGAAGCACTGGGGAGTAATTACTTTGAATGGCCTGGGGGAGGAGCTATTTCAAAATAGCAGCAGTAGCGTGTCCATGCTACTGCTATTCCAAAATAGCTATTATGAATCGTTATTCCTCATGGAATGAGTTTTACAAATTCCAAAATAATGGGTTAGCTGTGTAGACACTCGCATAGTTATTTTGGAATAACGGATGTTATTCCGAAATAACGCTGCTGTGTAGATGTACCCTAGGTGAGCGCCATTCCCTCGCCGCAAAGCTATCTCCTCCCACCTTCCCCATAACTCTGCCGCACATTTGCTGCATCTGTCCGACTTGCAAGCAGCTATCTGCTAACTCCAGCCTTTGCCTCTCTCCCACAGTCCCTGTGGAAACTCTTGCATGCTACTTCTTTGCTCACACCCCCATGACAAGGGGAAGAGATCTGTAAATACTAAAGATGCCATTGGTGGCAGCCCCCCCACACTGCAACCAGGGAGAGTGAATTCAGATCAATCCGTCCCCAGAATGAACATCACACAATGATCAAACATCACGCACAAGGATCACACACTTGATTTGGAGCCAAATTCATGCTCTGAGCCAATCTTTCACATCCCATGCTCATTTTATCTTCCCAAGAGGGGTTGTAATTTGTCTCTTCTTTCTGAATTACCCTGGAAGAAGTTCTCGGTCTCCTCCAACACTCTCTTCCTGCTCACAGATTCTTTCCACAGAGGGGTCAGATTTTTGAGGCTAGGCAAAAAGAAGCCATCTGTCTTTCTCAAGGATGTCTCCACAGGCTCTCAGTGCAGACTGATCAGGGTGCATCTACACATCAGGGCTTAACTGGAAAAAAGCTACGCAGATTGAGCCAAGTCAATTGCTTAGCTTATTTCAAAATACTTTATTTTGAATTTTGGTGCTTTCTACACAACACTTATTTTAAAATAGAGCACTCTCCCTTGAGCTGAGTGTGTGTACACAGCACCCGAAACTCAAAATAAGATACACAATTTGCGCTATGCAAATTGTGTATCTTATCTTGATCAAATTTCAAAATAGCATATTTCAAAATTTGGAACATCTATATAGTGCCAAATTTCAAAATAGTGCACTATTTTGAGACATCCCTTAACACTGATGCAATGAGGTTTATGGGGATGATGAAATAGCGTGCCCGTTATTTTGGAAAATATTTCTAAGATCTGGGGTAGCTATTTTTGGGATACCTTGGTATGCTGAAGTAAGTCCTCTGTGATTTACCATGAGGGTGTGTCTACACAGCAGGGCTAAACTCAAAATATGCTACATAAGTTGCACTATGCAAATTACGTATCTTATTTCGATCAAATTTTTAAATAGCGTATTTTGAAATTTGGCGCATCTACACAGCACCAAATTTTGAAATAATGTGCTATTTGAAGATATCCTTTAACCCTGGTGGAATGAGGGTTACAGGGATGCTTAGTGTAGGGTAGCTATTTTGGGATACTTCTTACTCCTCCTAAAATGAGAATTACAGGAGTAGGAATAAAAGTCCTCCAGATTGACAGTATTTCAACATTATGTCGAAATAACTGCTGGCTGTGTTTGGGTATGTCTACACAGCAAAGTTATTTTGGGATACCAGATGTATCCCGAAATAGCTACCCCACGTTTTTGAACGCATCCACTATTTCGAAATATAGCAGACATGCTATTTTGCCATCCCTTTAAACCTCATTGTACGATGAGTAGGGATGGCTTGAAATTTTGAAATGTGGTGCTGTATACACAGTGCCAAATGACAAAATAAGCTATTTCGAAATAGACTTAAAATAAGCTATGCAATTTGCATAGCACAAATTGAGTATCTTATTTTGAGTTTAGGGTGCTATGTAAACATGCACATATATGTAGAGTATGTTATTTAGAAATAACGTTAGTTATTTAGAAATAATGTTGCTGTGTAGACAAATTTCCAGGTACCTTGAACATGATGTTCTTCCAAAGGGGCAGATTTTGTTCTGCATGTTTACAAACATCGTTGGCTCTCCGCAGCAGGACAAACCAAGAGAAGATGTCCGTTCCGACTGAAATGCCCTTCACTGTTGATTCGAGCTCAAATGGACCTCAAAGAGGATAAGTTGGTGAGGTTTCTCCTGTGCACTCTAGTGACAAAAGATTTGAGATCCAACCAAACTGACCTTTTACAAGACTGGTGCCTCACTTGATGGATCTTCCATCTCTTTGTCATGATCATTGTCACTTGTTTTTTGCTGCTGACATCTTCCAGGGGTGTCCCAAAGCAACCAATTCCCACCGAAAATCTTGTCACATCTTGCTTCTTTCTCTTGGTTGTTGAGTTGGCCCTCAAGGACAAGACTTTCAGTCATAATTGAGATGAGAAAAGGTCTTTTCATGACATAGGCATTATAGAGGATTTAATGCCCATGGAGAACTCTTCCTCCGTGTTAGGCCATGTCTACTTGACCAAAGGAGGCTGACCTAATTTATGTCACTGTGGTAATTATGTCACTTGCATGTGTCTATCAGTTGCTATTTGTGCCAGCTAGAGGTGGCTTCTTCAGTTGTGTTGATTGTAACATTAGCGGATAAAAAGCAGCAGTCTAGAGGTAGCCTAAGGGAAGTCAGAAGAATAGTGCTCTATTTAGAAATAAGTGCTGTGTAGATGCTCCCAATTTCAAAATAAATTATTTTGAACTAAACTACTCAATTAACATAGCTCAATTTGCATAGTTTATTTAGAGTTAAGCCCTGCTGTGTATTCACACCCTTACTCTTGGTACAATGAGGCTATGTCTACACTGCAGGCTTCTTGCACAAGAAGCCTTTTTACGGCCACACCTCAAAGCACATTGCAAAAGTGATGTGCTTTTGTGCAAGAGAGCGTCCACACTGCATGGACCCTCTTGTGCAAGAAAGCTCTGAGCATCTGTGCTTTTTCTTGCACAAGAAACCCCTCGAGAGCGTTCACACTCGCCTTCTTGAGCTATAGCTGTAGCTCTAAAAGCAGTTATGCCTCTGAAAAGGAATTTTACCTACAGACACCAGCAAAAGCCCTTTGTTCTGACATTTTACTGCTGATTTACTTGCACAAAAGTGCATTTGAGGTGTGGACACTCAGCAGGTTTTTGCGCAAAACCTTGTAGTGTAGACATAGTGGTTGAACCAGAGCGGATCTCTTCCAGGCGGCCATGGAGAATCTGCATGACCTTTGGGAAGCCGCTTCTCTGCTTAATTCCCCTCCACCATTCAAAATTTGCCCCGCATTTCCAGTCCATGTTTCTTTAGCTGCATCTTCCGGCTGTGAGACCTTCCTCTACTCTAGGGATCAAGTGTTGCCCAAGAGCCCCGGAGTCCTGGCTCTGAGGTAGCGTTTCCAGCCTTCATCCTTCTTGTGCACTGAGCACCGGAACCGACTGTGGGACCCAGCACTGGGACCAGAGACTAAGCTGAAATCTCCACTTTGCTTCCTCCAGACTGGCCTTTTGGACCCCAGCGCTGCCCAGGACGAGACAAGGGGCTGCGTGTGATGAAGCAGCCTCCTTCTCTTCTGCCCACTCCCAGATCCCACCTGCAGCTTTGGACAGCAAAGGAAATCCAGGAAGGATGAGCTGGAAGGGACCTGGAGAGTTGTCACAGAGCCCATTGGCCAATTGTCACAGAGCCCCAGGGTCCGGTCTCTGCCTCAGCTGTTTACCTGCCTCTGAGGGCCCAGCACAGACCCCTGGGACAGGGCCCCTCCATCAATTTCTGCCAAAGTTTGCCAGGCCTACTTGGCCACCTGGTGTGTCCAGGCCCCCTGCTCCTGCATGGAGCCGGCTCATGGAGCTTACAGCAGCTCTTTAGGTCCCCCCATGTTTATCTGCATCAGTCAAGACAGTTGCTCCACTTCTCTGTTTGTCCTGCCCATTTGTGTATTTGCCCCAATCCCAGGTCACTGCGTAGCACAGGGGGAATCTGAGGCACAGGCTGGCTTCTCCAAACAGTCCAGCTTTGTCGCATGGGCGAGCCTAGCCCATCCCTGGGAGGGGGTTTACCCCCCAACCTGTTGTTTAAAAACTCCAGTGCCCTCCCTACCTGACTCTGGTGGCCTCTCTCTAACAAGTTTTGCCCTTCACAAAGAGCGTGGCTTGCCCCTCTCTAGCTGTCTCTCCTCTAGACATAGTGCCTCCTTCCTCATCGGTCATGGTTCCTAAACCACAGATTGTGTCCTTCGCTGGCCCACTGGTTGCTCCCCATCTATGTTCATCGGACACAGAAACACAAGAAGAGTCAGCGACCTTGGCCCTGCGGTGCCGGCAGATGGAGCCAGGAATTGGTGTGTTTACACAGAGTGCCGGGATCCGTTGCACCGAAGCTGTTTAGGGACAGACGGGCATCTGTCTAGAACAAGGGCACTGGCAGGACCGGCAGAAGAAAACCTCCAGACCAAGAGATCACAGAGAGGGCTGGCCCGGGGCTCTCGCTCGTGCCTGGAGCGACCTCTGACAGCGCAGGCAGGAGGCCGGTTTCAGCTTCACTCGGGGCAGAGTTCGGGCAGAGGCAAAGGACATTTTCAGCCTCCGGGGGCAACACTTCAGCCTCTCACTGGCTGCTGAGAAAGCTTCCTTCGGGATCTTTCCCTCAGACCTGGGATGCGAGCTAAGGAGCTCCCTGATTTCCATGTGATGGTCCCAAATCGCCTGCCTGGTGAAGACCTCTGGGGCAGGCCAGACCTCTCCAGCTTCAGAGCCCTGTGCCTTCCCGAAATGGCCTCTCTAGCATGGTTCTCTGGCAGGTCACCTCTCCCGGGTCAGGTCACATCAGCTCTGCCTCTCCTGACTCATCAGACTGCAGGCTCCCAAACCGGGCGGGCACCAGAGCCGGAGGGTTCACAGCTGACGTTAGCTGGCGGGCACCTGCCTCCTACAATGCTATATGCACCAGGCACTCCTCTGGCCCCAAGTCTCTTCTACCTGCCTCCATTCACACCCCTCCATCCCTGCCCCATATCCCTTGCCACCTACCTCCATTGCATTATACAGATCTTCAGGCTTGTGGCCACGTGGGGGTATGTAGGGAGAACCAGGATTCCTGGGTTCTCTCCATGGCTCTAGGAGAGGAGTGGGGGCTGGTGGGTCAGAGCAGGGGGGCTGGGAGCCAGGACTCCTGGGTTCGCTGTCTGGTTCTGAATCTCAGTCTCCGTCTGCACACATGTTAATTCTTGAGCTCTGGAGCCTGATCCAAAGTGGACAGGCGGGGATGGGAAGGGAGCCTTCCCCCTCCAGGGGGGGACACCGGCTCTAATGCAGGCCCAGGATGGGAGCCCAGGTGGGCTATGGGGCCCTTCCCCATTCTCCCATCTGTGGAGGAGCAAGCGCAGCTTTGGCAAGCCTCCTGCAAATGAGACACGCCTCCCTCCCCCTCTGCGGCGGGACCCAGGCGTCCAGCACGCGGCTACTCACCAGATCTCCCCATAGCCAGTCTGCATCGCCTCACGGCCTAGCGGGGCCCACGGCTCCCATCCCCATGTGAAATCGGCGGGCCCCGGGACGTCCTGGCTACCTTAGAATGACAGCTGTCAGCCCACCCCCACGCGACCTTTGGGTGCTTTCCGGGGGGTGGGTGGGTGGAACCCAGGTGTCCTGACTCCCAGACACCCTACTCTAACCCATCCACCCCCACAGAACCCGGGACACAATGCAGCCCCCCACTATGATCCACCAGCCCCCTCTGCCCTCTCAAAACCTGGGAGAGAACCCAGGAGTCCTGGTTCCCAGCCCCCCATTCTCTGACCCACCAGCCCCCTCTCGCCTCCCAGAGCCAGGGAGAGAATCCAGGAGTCCCAGCTTCCCCCCTCCAACCACCAGCTCCCTCTGCCCTCCCAATGCCTGGGAAAGTCCTGGCTCCCAGACCCCCCTGCTCTAACCACTAGCCCCCTCTCCCCTCCCAGACCTAGTGAGAGAACCCAGGAGTTCTGGTTGCTAGCCCCCCATGCCCTGACCCACCAGCCCCTGCTCCCCTCCCAGAGCCAGTGAGAGAATCCAGGAGTCCTGGCTCCCAGACTCCCATGCACTAACCACTAGCCCCCTCTCCCCTCCCAAAGCCCAAGAGAGAACCCTTGATTCCTGACTCTCAACCCCCTGCTCTAACCACTAGCCCCCTCTCCCCTCTCACAGCCAGGAGAGAACCCAGGAATCCTGGCTCCTAGCCCCCCTGCTCTAACCCACCAGCACCCACTCCCCTCTCAGCATCGGGAATAGTAACCACGAGTCCTGTGAGTTGAGATGGGGCAGGACTGGAGCCAGGACTCCTGGGCTCTTGGCTAACAGTGTGTGTGTGGGG